ATTTCTCAATATTGCTGCAACCTCATCCTGATGAAATCCACTAGAACAATATCGCTGGGATATTGGGATTTGATCATTGAATCCATATAGAGTTTGTGATATGGTACACATATATGGAATAAATTGATCGATCTCACGATATCCAACGTGACGATTCTTTGCAATATCGAGGTCATCTCCATTTCCCAATATTGCTTCATTATCAAACAGATGTCATAAGAAAACAACTCTTTATTGTATACATATAATTTACCAATATCCACACAAACAATATTGGTGGAAAATTGGGATGTCATCATTGAATAGCGGTTTCGTATTCGATATGGAATACATATATGAAATCAAGAAGTCCACGTGACGATATTGAACCTGATGTTTTATTGCAATATCCTCCAAGATACATTCTATCGGTATAGGTTACATATCCAGTTGTAATATGAACTGATATCAGGCAATCAATATATCTACCATGAATATTTATCAATATCGAGACATAAATCATCAGGATATAGGAGGAATATAGATTTCATCACATATGTCATTATGAATATCGATACAATGTAGGATTCTCAAGATCCTGAAAAATGTAAGCCTATCAACATTGTATTCATATTGATCCGTCCAGCTCATTTATTCAATATCGTTTCAATATCATCCGACCGATTTACGATATTCAAATATTGGGCCAATGCAGAGCCGATTTGCAGCCGATATTCTGTGCTACTGGGGAGAGCAGTGAACCAGCAAGAACACGACGCTCCCGGCTACACTAGACAATTATTTTATTTATTTTGTCTAAGCTCGACGACCGTGCGATCTATCCACTGTCAAGATACAAGTTCAAATGATGAAACAGAAAGACAAACAGATGCAAGATGCAATTTTTGCAGGTGGGTCCCGAAGAGACGCGAGGCGGTCCCGAACGACGCAGTACAACTAAAATTATTAGTTATGGCTAAACAATTCCTGCTATGAATAAACATAAACCTTTTACGATAAATGTGTCATCAGTTGTGGCAAATAGTCAGCTGTTGTTAGTAACCCCAGAATGGGGTTTTTTAACCCCAATATGACATTTTAATTGACTGAATAGACAACACTGTGATAATTCTGTCACAAATAGTATTTTTATTGATGACAAATAATTGGCGAATAATAGAAAAGACATTTGTAGGAAATGAGGATACGTTGTCATTGTTAATAAAATTCCAAATATTTTTAATTACCGGTACTAAAAAAATACCAACTAGACGTTTTAATTAACCAGTTTTTCTCAGTGTACTTCGCGATAATTGCAACCGAACTTTCAAATATCCAAATGTCAACTAATTTCATGGCAAATAGCTGTCTATAATAATTATCTTCTGCATTTATCAAAACCTTATTTACCAAGATTTTCATAGTTACAGTGACAACAACGATGTTAGTATTTCCCGGCCTAGTCCGATTTAACTGAGTATGATTTGCTTTTGTTTTTCTTTTGTTCAATTTTGTAATACGGAGTTAACCTTCGGTTTTGTTTCTTGTTCTAAAGTTTGAATAGATTTGTTCAATTGGTAAAAAAAATTGTATCCAAAAATTTACCATGATTTTCAACATGAAAGTTATTTTTTCTCAAAAACAGTCAACTCTAGAGAATATCCACTAACCCTTCAAGATCTTCACCAATTATGACTTAATAACACACAAATCCGCACAAAACATAGCTTATCATGAGTAAAAAATGCTAACGAAATCTGTTCTCTGTGCAATGAACGGTTTCAGAGATATTCACAAAAAACTTTTTTTTTTATTTCAACAATCTGTATCTCGAAAATGGTGCATTTCAGAGGGTAAGTTGATAAAAACCTTATTTCAAATTTTTGAACGAGCTATCAGATCCTGAAGTCCTGCGCATATACTATGAAACACTCTGGAAACATTTTCTGAATTCATTGACGTTGACTTCCGTGCAAAATCGATGAAGATGACCAAAATATGACTTTAGGATATTGGAATGGAAATTTACATGACGAGTCCTTAAAATACTGTTTTTTTTGGACGAGTAGACAAAATTTTAGGGCGAGTTGTGGGCCGGCACTATTTTCATCTTGGTAATGATGTACACATCGACTTGAGAATTATTATTATTTTTGTGGGTTCAGGTCATCTTATATAGTCAAATCAGTATGTGTGTGGTATGCTCATATTCTTCCGGTTGGGTTTCAAAGCAGCTCTGTAGCTGAACCCCGCCCTTTCATTATTTATCATTTTTTGTTTCATATATTTCCATATACATACCCCTAATTATAGCACACAACGTCCTAGGGACGTCCCTATTCAGTACAATTCAAGTCCGAATGTCCCGGAACAAAAATAAGTGTCCTTGGGACGTCCCATCTCGTACATCTCATGCAATGTCCGAGCAAGGACGTCCACGGAATGTCCCAGCAGGTACATCATTTCAAATGTCCTAGAAATAGCATCCCTTAGACGTCCTACGTGATACGTATTGTAGAATGTCCATGCAAGGACGTCCTTGGTATGTCCCTGATAGAATATGATTTTAAACGTACCTTTAGGGACATCCATCGGACGTCCCGAGTAGTACATATTCTGGCATGACTTCAGATCTCATATAATGTCCCATCTTGACAACCATGAAATGTCCCTGATGGTACATTCCTTCAAATATCTCTACACAGACGCCCTAAATATTTCCAGGATCGTATAACAATCAAAATGTTCCTTGGGGACATTCTTCGAATGTCCCTTAGGGATATCCGTCGGATGTCCCAATTGGTACATAAACTGTACTCTTTCAATGTTCTAGAAATAACGTCCTTCGGACGTCCCAGTCGGTTACTTGTTTCATTTTGATTTTGTCTAATAGTTTGGCACGCGAAGGATGGTGGCATTAAAGAGTGTTTTTGAAATTAATGAATTAAGCAATATTTCTCCGATACAACTATAGGCAACCACACATTTCCTCACCACGAAAATCGGATTTTTGTTTACTCGTTACCATGACGATCGTTGCCATGACAATAGTTTTTCCAAAACTGATTTAAGCCAAGCTAAACCCGATACAACTTGGCAACCACGCATTTCCTCACCACGGGAATCGGGTTTTTGTTTACTCATTACCATGATGATCTGCTATGGCAACAGTTTTTTCATAACTGATTTCAGCTAAACGAAACTTGAGCCCGATACAAGAGTCTCGAGATCATACCCGTGTGTTCACCGAACAAGCCCGATCGTTACCTAAGCGGTGGGGAGACCGAGACGTAAGCAGGCAGCCATGATACAATGAGTGGGCAGGCAGCTTCTCTCATGCAGTTTTTGTAGTACGGGGTGGGCCACCAACAGTTTTCTTGATCACATTTCAACATTTTTTTTTTCGAATAAATAAGAAATATTTGATAGGCATCAAGTGATCTACTTACTGCGACCTATCAGATAATGAAAGCGATGATTTGATTTGCAATAATTCGCTATGTCACGACGAGTCCTACATGTAAAAATAGCGAACCACTCATCGAAAATCATGAAACTATCTATATGTACATATTATATGCTTATGTTTTGTTGGCGAGGACGCTCGTTTTATTCAAATTATTTTCGATAATGTTCATCTGCTTCACTAGAAATTATTATAAGTAGTTAGTATAGTAGTAGTATATAGTTGTAGCAGCTTTGTTACTCAAAATGGAACACCTTATATTTTATTACATTTTTCGATTCTTCTAATTGAGCTATGATTTCGTTGATCAAGCTCAAGGTATACCTATACGTAGAATGTGAAAAATCGAGATTTTTTTTGTATCGAAACTATACAATACCTATATTGATTTGTCAAAATGGCTTACATGTGTCCCTATCCTAACATTTTATTTACTATCTACTGATGCCATTTAATTGAAACAGATACAGGGTGGATCAGATTTCAGAATTATATAAAAGAAGTACTAGTATGCCTACTAAAAAAATATATATATTTTAAATAAACAAAACAAATATATCACATAAAAAACACACTCTAATATTCAACATAAAATAAAATTCAATCCAGTGGATGTATTTAAAAATATAAACAGTGTGCATGTCGCTTCTAGTGGAATCAACCCGTATATCTAACGTAACTGTTCGATTTTCAGGAGCGATAGATATATATGTATATCAACAATGACCAAAGTGAGGTAATCTTCAGTGAAATACACTGCTCGGGTCATGGACCCACCAACATTTCCGGAAAATGATATTAGGAGGCAAGATAGGTTGAAAATCACTTCGGATTCGAAATCAGGACGTCCAATTCACTGACTATATTCATATTGTTCCTGAGAAATGTTCAGTTCTGAAAAATCAAATTTTGTTCCAATTTACATGAAAGCACACCCGTATCTTACGTAAGTATTCTATTCACAGCAGCAAGAAAGATACAATCAAAGAGCAGTGTATAGGTATATCACTGAAGATGTCCCCACTTGGTCAAAGAGTTTATTTTTGGTAGGTACCTATATCTATATTCTATACCTATGGCTCTTGTAAATTTCAGAATCCTAATAACTCAACAATTACGTAAAATACAGGAGTGTTTCCATCAGATTGGCAAATTTGACTCCAAAATAATTCTGGCACGCGCCAATATTCATAACGAGAGAAGCTGCCTGTTTACATCTCCCCACCGCTTAGGTAATGATCGGGCGTGTTCGGTGAACACACGGGTATGATCTCGAGACTCTAGTGAGCCCGATACGCACCCTTTCGGATGGCTATGACGACTTCCCAGGAGGCCATGTCTGGCTCATGTTTGTATGAACTGTTTTCACTATTTTTCTTCCTAGAATCTGTGGTTGGAATCTCTCTATGTAATTTCGTGATACCCTGTATATTCGATCTGATGATTCCCTATGATTCATTTCCTGGGATGTGAAATTCCATTGAGGAATATTTTTTCACGTTTCTGATAGAATAATTATTGATGTTCAAGATCTTGATTTTAGTTTTTTTTTCAGCCACAGTTGTTTGTTAATTCCGATGAAAAAGAATATACGTCGACGTTGCAAATTGACAAAACTGAACTTGATGATAGAGGTGTTTATACTTGTTACGTATCTGATCACCAACATCATACCTCGAATTCCAGCATAGAAATCAAGATTTTTGGTAAGATTCTGGAACATGGCCTCTTATGAGAAATTATAATATATTTAAATACTGTCTGTAGGTTAATCGAGGAGGTGGTATATTCATTATTCCAAATTTTTTGGGATTTTCTCTCCTCGTTTCTATAAAATAAAAATATGAATATTATTTCAATATACGTGTAGTAAGGACAAATCAGATGATTTGCCCCAAAATGTCACTGCGTTTAAAGAATTTTCCTATCAGAGAGCCTAAAAGAAAAATTCACTAGCTTGTCAGTGACAATTTGTATTGAAAAAATTTTTGGACAAGGGAAATAAAGGTATATAGAAAAAATATCAAATTTTCACTTATCTTTGGACGTTTCGGGACCGGTTCTGCTCCCGTTTTCAACATAAGAAGAGATTATTTCAATAGCGAAGTCGTATAATGTCTTGAAGCTTTTCAGTTTTCAATGACAATTGGTGACGTTGGCAATCAAATGAGTTACAGGATGTTTTCATTAATTGATCTTGAATTTACCATTTTCATGTTCAGATTTTAGTAGTGAATACCATGTTCTGTCTATATCAACTGAACAAGAAGCAATGTTATTGTCTCCGTTCAGAAGAATGCAAGCAGATTCCTTGATTTTTCTCTTCTGGTTGTTATCTTCTTTTCCAATAATTTTAATATTATTCCACTCTGCCATATGTTGTCCGTCTTCAGTAAGGATATGTTCAGCTAGTTTCGATTTTTCGATATTTCTTTTCTTTATATTGTACTTATGTTCCTTCGTCCTTACTGAAAGAGGTCTCTTGGTTTCACCTGTATAAAACTTTCCACAAACACAAGGTATACTGTAAATACAATTTTTTGATGATTGTTCTTCATTTTTCGGCTTTGTTTGAGTTAGAATTGATCTCATTGTATTTTCAGTTTTGAACACAGTTTTCACTTGAAATTTATCACCAACACGTTTTATTTTTTCAGATATGCCGGGAATGTATGGTATTATATTTGTCGTTATTGATGGTTGATTTTGTTGTGGTTGACCCTGTTTGTTTTCAATTCGATGAATCGTCCTATCGACAAAATTCTTTGGATAAGAATTGAGTTGGAGAACATTTTTAATGTGGTGGACTTCGTTATTGAAAATTTGTTGGTCAGATGATATTGATTTGGCTCTATCATGGAGTGATTTGATTATTCCTTTCTTAATACTTTTCTGATGATTTGATTGAAAGTTCAAGTATCTGTTAGTATGGGTCTTTTTACGATAAACACTCGTTACAAAGATGTTATTTGATTTTTCAATAAGAACATCTAGAAACGGTAATTGATTATTAGATTCAATTTCCAAAGTGAACTTTATTGTAGGTTCGGCATTGTTCACATAATCCAGAAAATTATCTAGCTCCATAACATTGTGAGGCCAAATTATGAAAATATCATCTACGTATCGCCACCATGTTTTAGGTTGTTTTTGGTAATTTTTGATGATGTTGTCTTCAAAATTCTCCATGAATATATTGCTTAAAATTGGAGATAATGGCGATCCCATGGCCATTCCAAAGTTTTGTTGATAAAACTCATCACCCAATTGAAAATATGTTGTTTTTAGACACAATTCCAAAAATTCCATTATTCCTTCGATACTTAAATTAGTTCTTTCAGTGAGACTTTCATCGTCTTCTAATTTATGTTTCACTATTTGTAAAGTTTTATCTATTGGAACATTTGTGAATAAACTTACTACATCAAAACTAACAAGAGTATCATTTGTATCAAGAGTGATGTCATTAAGTTTTTCTAAGAAATGAGGAGTATTTCTGATGTAACTCTCACTTTTTCCTGAAATAGGATTGATGATATTCAAGAGAAATCTTGCTAAATTTTGACATGGAGATCCAATTGAACTCACGATTGGTCTCAATGGAACATTTGGTTTGTGTATTTTTGGAAGTCCGTAAAAATGAGGGGGTTTGCTGTGATATGTGGAGATATTCTTTCTTTCCGCGAGTGTCAATTGATTTTCGTGTTTCTTAATAGTGTTACGTATCTTTCTTTCAGATTCACATACGAAAATTCAATAATCTCATTAATGAAAAACAACGAAAAGAATTGCAATTCAGAAATCGTCAACAGAATTTCTTGAACAAAACTGTTGTGAATCTATCATCGAGAGTATTAACAGATACTGAGAAATTAATATTATCAAAAGGAATGAATTTTTCAATAACTCCAAATAATTTTCCAAGATTAGAATTTATTACAGCAATCGAACAAACTGCGCAAAGACTTCCCGATGAATTTTCTAATGAGTATAGAATTAGAAATAAAATTATAATTGAAAAAGAACACAAAATCACACAAAACATAACTAGAATAGAAAAACAGTCAATTAATAACCTCAAACACGATAACACAATCAAAATACTTCCAGCTGATAAAGGAAATGCTACAGTCATCATGGACAAAATTGAATATGATACTAAAATTGAACAACTTATAAATGATGGTAATTACACGAAATTGAATAAAGATCCTACAGCAAATATCGAAAGAAAGATACGTAACACTATTAAGAAACACGAAAATCAATTGACACTCGCGGAAAGAAAGAATATCTCCACATAGCAAACCCCTTAATTTTTACGGACTTCCAAAAATACACAAACCAAATGTTCCATTGAGACCAATCGTGAGTTCAATTGGATCTCCATGTCAAAATTTAGCAAGATTTCTCTTGAATATCATCAATCCTATTTCAGGAAAAAGTGAGAGTTACATCAGAAATACTCCTCATTTCTTAGAAAAACTTAATGACATCACTCTTGATACAAATGATACTCTTGTTAGTTTTGATGTAGTAAGTTTATTCACAAATGTTCCAATAGATAAAACTTTACAAATAGTGAAACATAAATTAGAAGACGATGAAAGTCTCACTGAAAGAACTAATTTAAGTATCGAAGGAATAATGGAATTTTTGGAATTGTGTCTAAAAACAACATATTTTCAATTGGGTGATGAGTTTTATCAACAAAACTTTGGAATGGCCATGGGATCGCCATTATCTCCAATTTTAAGCAATATATTCATGGAGAATTTTGAAGACAACATCATCAAAAATTACCAAAAACAACCTAAAACATGGTGGCGATACGTAGATGATATTTTCATAATTTGGCCTCACAATGTTATGGAGCTAGATAATTTTCTGGATTATGTGAACAATGCCGAACCTACAATAAAGTTCACTTTGGAAATTGAATCTAATAATCAATTACCGTTTCTAGATGTTCTTATTGAAAAATCAAATAACATCTTTGTAACGAGTGTTTATCGTAAAAAGACCCATACTAACAGATACTTGAACTTTCAATCAAATCATCAGAAAAGTATTAAGAAAGGAATAATCAAATCACTCCATGATAGAGCCAAATCAATATCATCTGACCAACAAATTTTCAATAACGAAGTCCACCACATTAAAAATGTTCTCCAACTCAATTCTTATCCAAAGAATTTTGTCGATAGGACGATTCATCGAATTGAAAACAAACAGGGTCAACCACAACAAAATCAACCATCAATAACGACAAATATAATACCATACATTCCCGGCATATCTGAAAAAATAAAACGTGTTGGTGATAAATTTCAAGTGAAAACTGTGTTCAAAACTGAAAATACAATGAGATCAATTCTAACTCAAACAAAGCCGAAAAATGAAGAACAATCATCAAAAAATTGTATTTACAGTATACCTTGTGTTTGTGGAAAGTTTTATACAGGTGAAACCAAGAGACCTCTTTCAGTAAGGACGAAGGAACATAAGTACAATATAAAGAAAAGAAACATCGATAAATCGAAACTAGCTGAACATATCCTTACTGAAGACGGACAACATATGGCAGAGTGGAATAATATTAAAATTATTGGAAAAGAAGATAACAACCAGAAGAGAAAAATCAAGGAATCTGCTTGCATTCTTCTGAACGGAGACAATAACATTGCTTCTTGTTCAGTTGATATAGACAGAACATGGTATTCACTACTAAAATCTGAACATGAAAATGGTAAATTCAAGATCAATTAATGAAAACATCCTGTAACTCATTTGATTGCCAACGTCACCAATTGTCATTGAAAACTGAAAAGCTTCAAGACATTATACGACTTCGCTATTGAAATAATCTCTTCTTATGTTGAAAACGGGAGCAGAACCGGTCCCGAAACGTCCAAAGATAAGTGAAAATTTGATATTTTTTCTATATACCTTTATTTCCCTTGTCCAAAAATTTTTTCAATACAAATTGTCACTGACAAGCTAGTGAATTTTTCTTTTAGGCTCTCTGATAGGAAAATTCTTTAAACGCAGTGACATTTTGGGGCAAATCATCTGATTTGTCCTTACTACACGTATATTGAAATAATATTCATATTTTTATTTTATAGAAACGAGGAGAGAAAATCCCAAAAAATTTGGAATAATGTATAATATTTTTGTAATAAAATATACTAACAGTGATATTTGTCGATATTATACTTGATAAAAATTCACTCTGCTCGCATTTTAAGTGGAAAAGTTATAATAATGATGCTAACTATATATTTATTTTTCAATAGGACATATCGACAAAGGTTTAGGAATAGTCAAAATAGAAGAAAAAACATTCAATAACATTGAGTAAAAAAAACACAAAAGACGGAACAGAACGACATAATAATATAGACTTTCTATATATTCATATCATTTTATACGTTAAAATATTCATGCAAGGAATGAACACAATTTTCAGTTGAACAATTTTTCAAGGCTGTTTTGAACTTTCTACTATACTATTATTATATTTTATTATTTCATTCGGCAATCTCTTATTGCTAACGACACCCATTGGTAGATGAGTTTTGCGAATTTTTATATTCATAAAATGGAATGTGGAAATTATTTTTTCTACAACTGCAATGAAAAGTAGCGAATTTCTCATAGCTTACTGCTTAGTTTCAAAACCATGTATTGCTCATACTTTGAGAATAGTTATTTGTTTAACTAGACAGCAAAGTAGTAGATTGACTGCCGTGGCTGAATTCGTAGCCGAGCGTAGCGAGGCTAGGAATCCAGCTAAGGCAGTCAATCTACTTTGTTGCCGAGTTGAACATATAATTTTTTCTCCGATTGTTCATAATGATATGGGAGAATATTGTATTTAATACAATTCCCAGAATCTCTTTATTCTTCCTGTATAATAGTGTTCAATTAAAATAAAATTTTATAGAAATCGCAGTTGTTGTTTTGACAATTCATGAAATTTCTGACAGTTGTGCGACATGGAAGTATACTTACACCTCCATTAATAAGGGAGGTGGCAAAAAATATAGAGTTGAATTTGTTGCCGGAGAAGTCTCGATTGAAATATGAAGGAAATTATAAACGATTCATGGATTTTTAATTTTGCTGATACATATCAATCAGCAAAGTAACCACTTTTCAGGAAAAGTAATACTTTGCTGATTGATATGTGTCAGCAAAATTAATATTTGCTGCCAATCGGAGGAAAATATTTTTTTCTACAAGCGTGCGTGATTCACCCTATACCGGAAAACAAAGATATGATGAAATCGCTAGTAATAAAAGTGGTTGGTGATGGAATATAAAAGTTTAAGTTTGTTTGTTGCAGTATTAAGTATGTATGTTCAGAATCATCCATCAAATTGCACTATTTATTGTTAAAATTAAGAAATATTGACAAATAAAAATTGATTATTATAAAAATCCCCCTATAGATTTGGATTGATCTGACAGGAAACGTCAATTTGTCATGCCAATCAAACTTCAAATAAGTTTGAAATTGTCGAAGTGACAGACACAGCGTTACTGTCATTTTCGATTCAGTGGAAATGCCACAATGTGTTCAAAAACTTTTAGCTATAGGGATTTGATACAGATGCGTTATCACCAACGAAGTCTTAAGAAAGGTATGAGAAGCTATACACGCGTTTTATTGAATGATGCAACAATAAAAAATGAAAAAACCGAATGAAGAATATAGGTATTTTTGGCTCATTTCATAGAAGTGTCTGGAACCTAGAGACCAAACTCCTAATGGGCCTGCTGGCTTCCGCAATGAACCAATATGCTGCGTCAAACTGTAAGTTCACAATAGCTATTACTAATAATTAATAGATAGAGAATATAATAATATATCTCTTGTTAGTTGTTCCTATTTGCTCGAATAATTAATTGAACGCATCAATCAATTTCCTACGCTTGTAGAAAAAATATTGTTCCTAACTCATGCGGAAAGTTTCTTTCCCGCACTCGACTGCTTGCCCGAACTCCGCTTCGCGTCGTTCGTGTCAACGGCAGTCACGTGCGGGAAAGAATCACTTTCCGCACTTGTTAGGAAAATTACTATTTCCCACGGCACTTTATTGCCAACACCACATACATTTCCATGGAGAATCAACAAAAATCGACCAAAACTTGGCTGCTGTTTAGCTTTGAATAGTTGTCACAACTGTCAGAAGAAGTTTTTTAAATTCTTTAGGGTAGTTCTACGAATATTATTACAACAATTCATAATAAATAACATGATGTATATACCGAGATGTGACGATTTTGATAAATACACCGCCAGAAACAGTGATAATGGAAGCTGCGAGAGTTGGATTCGTTTCCGGAAATTTCAAGAAAAAAGTATGGTTTGGCATAAACGAAAAATTTATGGAATCTAAAAAAATTCAGGAATAAAATCTTTTTCGGAAAGTGTACTTTTTTGAAATACTTTGAGGAACTAGAAGAGCCTTTCTAGTCTTTGGTCACAATATTCAATGTGGCATAGTGCCACATAATAAAATGAATACCAATAAGCTACATCACTCGGATTCTTTGAATAAGTGCAGTTATAGAAAAAGTATAGTGTGCAACATGTGGGGAAAAGCACTTTTCTCACTCGTGTGTTCGCAGCACTCGCCCTTCAGGCTCGTGCTACAAACTTTCACACTCGTTGCACAATATACTAATTTCTTACTCGTGAGAAAAATATACTTTACAATATACTATTTCCGCCTACCTCTATCCAAACTACTTATAAATTTCCTGGCATCATTGGAGGAAGCAAAGTTGTACTTCACCTCCCACTTCTAGTTGTATTCAAATAACCACTGCTCAAAACTGAACGTTCAAAATTTGTATAAATTGTTTAAACTACAAATTAGTAACACGTAGGATGCACGAATCAGAATAAAATGCTTATAAGTTTACTGTACCTACTTTTTAGTTTTACTTGTTTCGTGAAAACCAATTCGTAGTTCTATAGTTTCCTCATAGAATATGGTATGAAATCTTGATAAGAATTGAGAAACTGTCTGTAAGTTTTGTGTTTTTGTTACTATATAGTGTGTCCCACTTACCATGCTCACCATGGGTATCTTTTTAACGGTGAGAGATACGAGGTCGGTTAAATGACACCAAATGTGGAGTTTGTCAAGGCCAACTATAATGTGAAAAAATATTTTGATAAAATCTATTTGTTTTTGTTTTATACGCAAAAAACAGATTTTGATCATTTTCATGTCTCCTCCGTAACTTCTTTATTTATGAGAATTTTCAAATAGAAATTTCACATTCTCATGGCAGTTTTCCAAAGTGATTTCGAAAAAAATATGAAGTTATTAACAACTCTTCTAGAATTTGAGATATCAGCACCAACTTTAGTTTTTCAAATGTCGGTCATAGCTCACTATGACTGAGTTACAAATAACTTTTTTTTCTCTTACAGATGATATGTCGCAGTGATAGATTTGTGTTGATAACAACGGAGATATCGTCATTTATACAAAAACAAAAATTATTTGGAAGCCGCCATCTTCAATTTATAAATGTTAACAAAAAAATCATGATCTCCGACCTCAAAAACCCCCACTTACCAATTTTGAATGGAATCGGACCAAATCTTGTCCGCCATCTTGGAGCAGCCATTTATTTTAATTTCAACAAAAATTCCATAACTCCGATTAACTTGAAATTTGGCAGGTGTTCATAATTTCGGTGACAATACATTATGGAGTTTTTGTTGAAATTGAAAAAAATGGCTGCTCCAAGATGGCGGACAAGATTTGGTCCGATTCCATTAAAAAATCATGATTTTTGGTAAAATTCATAAATTCAAGATGGCGGCTTCCAAATAATTTTTTGTTTTTGTATAAATGACGATAACTCCGTTGCTATCAACACAAAACTATTACTGCGACATATCATCGGTAAGAGAAAAAAAAAGTTATTTGTAACTAAGTTATAGTGAACTATGACCTACATTTGAAAAACTAAATTTGGTGCTGATATCTCAAATTCTAGAAGAGTTGGTATAAATTTCATATTTTTATCGAAATCACTTTGAAAAACTGCCATGAGAATGTGAAATTCCTATTTGAATATTTTCATAAATGAAGAAGTTACGGAGGAGACATGAAAATGATCAAAATCTGTTTTCTGCGTATAAAACAAAAATGAATAGATTTTATCAAAATATTTTTTCACATTATAGTTGGCCTTGACAAACTCCACATTTGGTGTCACTTAACCGACCTCGTATCTCTCACCGTTAAAAAGATACCCATGGTGAGCATGGTAAGTGGGACACACTGTATATGGCGTCAGCATCAAGTTCAATACCTCATACTCTTGAGGTTCGTTATGATCTCAGTTCATTTATTCTTTCAGGCTTGGAAGAACACAACCTAACCATGGCAGAAATGAATAACAAGTATTACATCGAAACATACGCGGGCAAAGAAGATGTAAAATTTACTGTCTTCATTTGGGGTCATCCGCATCTCCATTACACGTGGTGCGTTTCATAATGCAATAATTTTCGTTTCAGAATATACAGGGTGTCCCAGAATTACCTTCGCATAACCGAGGCGCTAAATCTACAGATTGAAATAAGAAAAAATCTCTTATATCAATATGTGTGTGAATGCTTCCTAAGGGCGCTACAGACTCTGAAGACTTGTATTCTTCATTCATCTTTGTTACAACCCAGGCAACCAGATGACGTTCCAGTGACGTATTTTTTACGTCACTTGAATGACCAAGGTGATGTCAGTAGTTGACGTCGCATTGACGTGATAATGACGTGAATAAGTCACAGCCAAATGACGTCATATTACTCACGTCGAATTGACGTCATTCACTCACCAGACTGTGACTGTGACTGACGTCATAATGACGTCAAAATGACGATTGAATTTGGCGATGATACGTAAAAAAGATCCCTTCAACATGGTGTGATGAACACCACTCGCCTCTGATGACATTATATAATATCGATTATGCATTAATTGTTGAGTTTGCTTGGTGGGTCGCTCCTGTGTCATGTTCATTCAATCGCCTATTCAGCAGCGCCATTCTTCAGTAAGCATCTCCATCAGAATACAATCAGTTACTCGTATTTCTATAAAAAACTATGTAGTTTGTGTCGGCGAGATGTAAGCAAACAAAGAATAGTTTGATAGCAATGGAAAGGATGTTGGCGAATTCGGCTTCACTTTGTTGAATAATGTGAATTGATGCATTCTTTGTCACCCAACAAAAATCTAGATGGTAAATTATTGAAAAATTTCCTAAATGACGAATCTCACCAAATTGGTACGTCACACCGACGTGATTTCTAGACGTCATAGATACGTCACTGGAACGTCATAAGAGTAACGGTTTCAATATAGGTATACCTAAACAATCATTTTTATATATACATAGCTTGTTGGTTTCCGAGATATACAATGTGTCATTGATAATTAGAATAAAACTTGCATGTTGATTTGCTTTCATGAGTTGTACTTCTGTTTCACATGATGATATATAAGTATTCATGGTTTAGAGAAGGTCTGGGAAAAATGGACGTCGACAGGAAGTCCCTGCAACGTCATGAAACTGACGTCTTCTTTTACCCATCTAAGTGACGTTCACTCGACGTCGAAACGATGACGTGATTATCACGTCATAGAAAGTACGTCATAGTGACGTCATTAATTGGTGTGTGACGTCTCTGACGAAAAATCACCAATTAGGGACGTCACAGTGACGTGAGCATTCGTCATCTGGTTGCCTGGGAATCGATCCTAGAATCACACAATTTGGTATTTAAGGGTAACTTCATGTTACAAATTGTTTCATGCCGAGGATGAAATGATATAGTATATAAGGAGTTGCGAAACGCGTAACCTATTCTACACTAAAAAAAATTGTGAAATTTTACTCAAACTTCACTCAATAATATGTATCTATTTTGGTCCACGCCCGATTGAGTTGAAAATTTCACAACAAACATTTTCGATCAATTCAAAGCCTGTTTTTCGTATCGTTACCATAGCAACTAAACGAAATTCTTGGAAATTTTTTCTTCCTCCTTGGGGGACGGAGCATGAAATTACACTGGAAATTTTTTGACGTTTATAGGTTAAATGACACTTACACTTCAGATTATTTCGAGTTCATTCTATAAGTCAATGGATAAAAATCATTTACCAACAGTTTACCATGTATATTTATGTATAGGTATACTTGCAATATAATATTTCATTGTGAAATGTTCTCACCGAATACCACTGTAGCTTCAATTAATATCCGGTTATTTTTTATGGGAACACGAATATTTTGAAAATTCTCCCGAGTCGAACTGAAAATTCACTTTACTAGACTGAGTGAAATGGTAATTCAATGAGTGAATATGAGGAATCAGGATTGAGTCAATGTTTCCAATATAGATTTGAATATATTTCAGTTTGGCGATTTCTTGAGCAAGTTTCAACACATTTTTGAGTATCAAGAACATCAATTGAGCGGTTATATGTCCTTAATTGAGTGATTTTGATACAAAAATTAGTTATTTTATACCTTTTTTGACTGATTTTATGTAATATGATCCTCAGTGAAGTATACAAAAGTTTATTAACAATCAAAGTAGAATACAATCAGTTAATCACAATCACATTGTACTTTTAATGAAGAAAAAAGCTGACATAATTTGAAATTATCAGTACATACATTATGGTCTCGCCTTCCGAAATCAAGTAGATGTGGCTTCTTCTGGCTGCAAACCTCTATACAGCAAGCTCGTTGACACGAATTTTATAAGTCCGTTCAGGATTTCGAATAAAAAAATATTTTTTATTCAACTATTTGTCACAAAGCAGAGAGATGTTTACAGCATGGATTCAAAGTCAAGACTGAATATAAAACTAATTCTAATAAACATGTGAAAATGCAAAATTGCAAGAAAGCATAGAAATCATGAGAACGCTGACTCGGCTTCTCCTGGTCTTCTGTCGAGATTCCTATTTCTTAAGGAATACCGTGGAATTGGTGATGTAACTCCTCCCTCCTTAGAAAGATCCATACAGGGGGTGGATCTGGTTACTCGTCGTCTTCAGCCCTCAGGAATAGGGTTGGATGAGACCTAGGTGCTGCCTCAGGTGCTGGGGATTCATCTGGATTGGAACGTCTGGACTTCTTGTATAGACTAACTATTCCAATAGCGAAAAATACGATCAATACAATATAAATTGGTATTGACCAATAATGGGCTGTGTTACTTGGCATTGTTTTCAGCGAGACATGTTTCATTCTGTGCTGATCCTGTTGCAGTCTTTGTACTTGGTCCAGGGGTATGTCGTTTATCACAAGTTCATGTACGTGGTTACCTGTGATAGTCGGTATCTTGACTTCGGGTAGTAGCAAGGGTTGGCCGGTGATGATGGTTTCTTCGTTTGTGAAGACATTGTGTGGGGTTTCGAAACTACATGCAGTTGGTATTTCCAAAAGGTAGGTACCCTTGAGGACTGCAAAATCGATTTTATGACAATCAATTTTAACTTTGGTTTCTTCTGGGAAGATCACGATGTAGTGGGCAGGGTTGATTTCTTCGATAATTTCGTGTTGAATTACTACTGGTATGGCTTCGCAGCTTGACGGATATTTGCTTTTCAACTGCAGTATCTGGTGTGTGCAGTCTTCTTCTCGAGATTGCAAGATCGGGTTCTCGTTGGTGCAGAAATACAGAGGGTTGGTGTTTCTACACTCACTGTCTTCGTACTGATAGAAAGTTTCTTCCATAGCCAGGAAAGGTTTGGGAGGAATGATAATCGAATTGTTTCTTGTAGGAATTGAATATAGGTGGTAATAGGAAAATACTTCAGGATAGACAATCGGGAAGTGAATCATGAAGACTATCTTATCATTAGAATGGTAACATTCGACTTCAAGTATTTCATAGTATTTGTATGAGCTGGAAATGTCGTCCCCAAATAATAATTCGTTAGGCTTGTGGTGATCTAGAAGTCTCTTTACGATTGATTCCAAATCTTCGATCTTTAATATACTATTATGCATAGTTTTTAATCTAGCAAATGTAACAGCATTTTCTAAGTTATTCAGAAGTTGAGTTACGATACTGAGAATAGCGTTTATTTGATCTAAGCCAGTTTTTGCTATCGTATAACAGTTGAAATTGAATAGGAAGTCCCGGAATTCTTTGTTGAGTTCGTTAATTTTATCTGTGATATGTATTTCATTTTGTTTTATGAGCACTAGAGTTTTGTTATAATCATCAATTATTTCGGTTGTTAATGAAATCTGTTTATTCAGAGTCGTTACAACATTTTTTGATTTGTTTGGAGGGTTGATATGGCTTCGTCGTATCTCTTGCCATCTTCTGCATCTAGGTTGCCAGAAATACTTTTGAATAATGTGCCTAATCCGTCAATTAGTCCTCTTTTGATTCGTTTGTTGGAGTGAAGTGAATTGAATTTATCTTTTACGGCATTGAGCTGAAATGCAATTGAATTTTGAATATTTATTAGTGCATGGGCGTACTGATTATCGGTTTTGGAGGTTGTTTCTTTTTGTTGGGACATTTGGTCGTGTAGGTGTTTGTATAATTCTTGAGTGCATTGCTTGTGTTGACTGACATAATTGGTGTACAATTTTTGATTTAGATCAATATCGAAAGGAGCATTAGAATCTATATGCCCATTAATAATGTCGATCGGACGTTGTTTTGTGGTTGAATGAATCGTGTGATTGTATCCAAGGATGGCGTATGGCATTTGATCAAGGATATTCAGTTCTTTTCGTGTTTCTCTGATGATTCTTAGGTGTTCGATCAATGTTGAATGAAATCGTTCAATAGGACTATTCGAATTTGGATTCAAAGGGGTAATATAATGAATTTTGATTTTGTGTAAAGACGAAAAGTCGTTCATGATATTATTTTTCAGTTCAGTTCCATTATCAAGCACTAGTAATTTTGGTGAACCGTGATGGGACATAAATAATAGAAAAGCTTTGATTACATGGACGGCCGTTGTTCCTGTTAGAGGGTATGCTTGAGCGTACTTCGAGAATTTATCGATTATTGTTAGAAATTTTTGATTTTTGAATGTGAATGTATCCGCGTGAATAATTTCAAACGGTTTGCTAGGTGTAGGTGTGACTTCGAATGCTTGTCTTGGAGGTTGCCTGTCGTATTTCATTCTTTGACAAATTTGACAGTTGTTGATGTATTTTGTGATGGTACCACGAATATTTGGCCAATAATAATGTCGTTTTATTTGTGCTTCGGTTTCGAGTATGCCACGGTGATTCGTTTTCCCTTCATGACACAGTTGTACTATTTCGTCACGTTGACCAGCTGATTTGACGTCCTCTAACACCACCTTACAAAGTAATAACTTGAATGCAGAATGTTTGAATGTATCTTTCAAAACTTGACAAAGTCTCGGGATAAATTCTTCGTTGTCGATATTGATAGCAAATGTTTTCTTGACTGTCGTGAATTCTTTGAATGTG